GTGATATTGGACAGCCGCCTGAACTTTAAAGACCACTTCACATATATCGAAGGTAAGGCGAGCAAGGTTCTTAGATCCCTAGGCAGACTGATGCCAAATCTTAGAGGACCGTCAGAGGCTAAGAGGAGGCTATTCGCAAATGTCATCATGTCGATACTCACATATGGTGCACCTGTATGGAGCGACGCCTTAATGGCGAACAAAAAGATTCAGCTGCCCTTCCGGCGGCTTCAAAGGACACTGGCAATCAGAGTTATAGCGGCCTACAGGACAACGTCATATGACGCAGCTACTCTACTCTCCAGGATCATGCCACTATATCTCGTAGCAGCATCAAGGAAGGGAGCATACCTCAGAATCCGGGACCTCCGAAGCTGCGAAGATTGGAGCGCCGAGGAGGAAGCGGAAATAAAGAGAAATGAAGACTTCATAACAAGGAGACAATGGGAACTGCATCTCAACAACCCAAGCAACCCAGGAACAAGGACAAGAGACACCATAATGCCCATGTACACCAAATGGCTCGATAGGAAGAGAGGGCACCTGACATTCCACCTGTCACAGATAATGACAGGGCATGGATGTTTCAATAGCTACTTATACAGGATTGGCAAAGCGGACACACCGATCTGCGCCCATTGTAGAGATGAAGTCAATACAGCCGAACACACGGTACAGCGCTGCATGACCTGGACCGCGGAAAGGCAAGACTTGATAGACCACATAGGAGAGGATCTTCAATTCTCAACCATCATAACGAGGATGCTGGAGAAAGAAGAGTCTTGGAAGGCGATGATCCGGTTCGCTGAATCGGTCATGCGCGCCAAGGAAGAGGCGGAGAGAGAGAGGCAGAGGAGGCCTGATGGGGATGCTACCCCATCGATCCCGGGCAGCACCTAACCAGGTGCTCGGAAGCGAGGGGGTGGAGAGAGAATAATAATGCTTCTGATACCTAGTATCAGATAGCATAGATAGAAGGAGAACCCACGCACACTTGGGAAGGAGTCGTGTGAATGCACACACACACATACACACAATACACTCTATACACACACACATACTGACAAGCACGCACACGCAAACACAAACATAAAGAAACTAGCACAAATCAAACTACATACACACACACAAATCACTCACACGATCCATACGGAACTGAGGGATTACTTACTTATTTTAGGGTAGGGAGGATATCTGGGGGGGGGTAGGACGGGTATTCTGGGGGGGGACTTATATGGGGGGAAGGACGGGGTATATGGAATGGGGGGTAGGACGGGTGTTCTGGGGATATGGTAGGGAGGTTGGGCTGGGGAAGGAGAGTGGGGGGAAGGGGGGATGGGGTGGGCGCGTCTGGGTGGGCCGTGGGGAGGGGAAACGGGTGGGAACACTCACACGCGCAATCACACACACACACGCTCACACACGCGTATACAAACTAAACAGGGAGGGAAATTAAGGGGGGAGGGTCTTCTAGGGGTTTGTTCCGTCGAGGAAGACTGCCGGAAGGAGAGCGCAAACGCGCAAGGTGGCCGGGATCATGGTAGCATGCTTAGGCGGATCCCAGATCCCGACCGACAGCCTGAGGGAATGCCCTCGGTTGACAGGCGGAGGTTTAGTGGGTAGGACTAATCGGGGCTGTTGCCCGGGTTGGGACCCCCTTGCAGTCGAGTCATCTCGGTGGCTCGAATGTACGGGGAGACCAACTCGGGCGAGGTGCCTCGATTAGGCGAGTCCCACATAACCCGGTGGGGACGGCCCCACTGGGTATGCGTAAATGCATTCCTCCGCCTTGCGCCGATCGCAAAAAAAAAAAAAAAAAAAAAGGATATTATATTATATATATCATTTAATATATCTGTGATAATATAAGTACCTGAAAATATTGTACATATTATTTTTTTATTAATGATTTTAATTTAAGAAAAAATGTGCAATTTGTTTCTAATTATAATAAGTACTGTGCAATTTTATTTTTTATAATTATTGAATACTGTCCAATATTATATCGGTTTTTATAAGTTTAACGGTTTTTATAAGAAAAATTATTTTATAATTTAATTTAAGATAAAATGTAATATTTATAATTTTATAATTAATAATTATAACCTTTGTTTATTTCATTTCTTGTTATAATTTATTAATTGTATTATTGTTAATAAATACTAGTAAGGTTTTTGGCAGTTTTCCTTACCCTTGCAATAAATGTTGGTATTCTTTGAAATTTCTGCCAAATTAAAGATTTTTATTTTATTTATGTAAGAAGTGTTTTATTTTATGATATCATCCTTTTCTTCTTCCTCAGGGTGTCTAGCGAAACAAGGTTAAGAAATTCAAAGACATTTCCAGGATTTCCAGGACAAAAAAGTATTTTTTTCCAGGAATTTTTTTATTAATTAAAAGCATATGAAAGTTGATTAGAAACAAAAACATAAATTATATATATATATATATATTCTCTTTTTATTTAAGATTTAATTAAATAATTAAATTAACTTAAACTTTGGTACTTTTGTTGCTTGTGAAAGGTACAGTAATTTTTCGAGATCATAAGAATTATTAAATGTAACATAAATAATTATTTGATTAATTTTTTTAATTTTTGAACCTCCTTATCAATTAAATCAGATTCTTCTTTAGCATTTGATAAGAGCTTTTTCTTCTGTATTTGTAATTCCTCAAGTTTTTCCGCGTATCTCTTTTGAGCTCTTTTTTCGTCTAAAACTTTATTTTTTTTTGTGAGAAAGCAATTTTTTTATTTTTATGAGAATTCGCAAAAGCTCTTAACAAATCCGGGTCTAAAGAAATTTCTTTGATACCTCCAACTGCATATATTGCATCGTGAACACTTCGCTGCGCTATCAGGCTGTCTTCATGTAAATTTTCGACTAGAAATTCTTTATTATAGGAAAAGCTTCTTTCGACAGAGGCTTGACCATGAAACAAAATTAATATCATTTGCATAAATTTTTGTAAATTATTTGATGCTTTTTTTTCTACAAATATTTCGTTTAAAAATCTATCTAATCTATTTTTTTTATAATCGAACTCTTTTAATTTTTTCTTTACGTTTTCTAAGCTAACAATTGTGCAATATTCTTTTTTTATACGATCAGTTTCAATGGCATTCATTCTTTTTTTTTCAACCAAATAACTCAGTGCTGCATCCACCCTTAATTTTGCGACATGTTCAGTTAGCATCACCTCAGGCGAAAAACAACTTGCACCTCGTAATAATTTAAAACCAAGAGGTGATTTTTTAATCAAAGTATCGCAAATTTTTAAAATAAATTTTTGACATTGAATTCTGAATTGCAAAATTTCAATTTCTTTCAAATATTTTTTTTGGCGGTTAAAGAAGCGGAAGCTGCGAATCCTATATCAACTGATTTTGCGGGAATTAAATTATCCGTCTTTTCTAAGTCGATTTTCAAAAGATTAGTCACGGTTTTTACGTTTGCCATAACGCTTGCCTTTACAACTTTTGACATAAAATCTTTCATTAAATTATACAAATCATTTCTCATAAAAGGTAGCATAGGCCAATCAGTCTGATATTTTCCTAAAAATGGCTCTAGTTCCACTGATATAGATATTAAAAAGCCAAGTTTTGATTCTAATAATTCATCATTTAAGAAATTTTTCATTTTTTCATAATTATCTGAAGTTGGAGGATTTTTTTCCACAGATTTCACGTATATACGTAAGGAACTCAATATTTTCATTGCTCTTTCCATTACTTTGGAATTTTCAAGCCACCTGGTGAAACAAAATTTGAGTGGAAATTCTGAAGAATGAGTATAGTGTGTGAAATCGGCGCGACGGGTAGGAAAATCCTTAAAAAAATTGTAAATTGATCGCAAAAATTGACTAATATCCCAATCTGTTGCAGTATGAGCTGTTTTATAACTATTATTGACAATATGTAGAACACATGTACCTATGTCAACTAATTCCGGATAATCTTGAGAATCATTTAAATAACTAATAAGATCTTTCAAAAATTTTTTATTCACATTGGGTCCGTCCATGGACACTTGAAGCATATTTTTTAAATTGAGACTGTGTTCTTTAAAAACTGTGGTGAATACCATGAGTAAATCTGCAGCTGTTGCATGCCCCAGAAATGTTGAGGTTAAATATCTAGTGTTGACTTCATTATTTCTCCAGAAACGAATAATCAAATCCATTTGCCCCTTTTGAGAGATTTTATTTAAACTTTCATCAAATGAAACTGCGTAAATATCACATTCCCGTATAATCTTTGTCAATTGATTTTGAAAGTAAGGACCTAAACCGTAAGTTATAACGTATCCTAACTTGTCCTTTTTCATTTGAAATTTTTTTGCAATTTCGCTATCAGGAAACATCAAGGGAAATAATTCGCTCGAATCGCTAAAAGAACGCGCAGATGATTGTTTAAAAACATACTGTAAGGCCCATAAAATTTCAGCTTTCATGACATCATTTTTTGAAATATAATTAGTTATTATGTTGTCTTGTGTGCGCTGCTTAAGAGTTTTTGAATGATCTAAATTATTAGGAGAATTTCCAACGTCTAATTCTACAGTACAGTTTGATACTTCATTCGAGACTTGTTCAACACCTGTTTTTGAAACACTGACAGGAAACATTTGCTTACTCCTCATCTTAGCAGCAACGCGTTGTAAATGCTTCTTTCCTTTTCCGTGCGATCTTACAGCAGATAGTCCCATGTTTGAAATATCAAAATGAGCTGAACAAAGAATACAAAAAGCATAATCTGTTTCGGAAGCGGTGCGAGGTTTCCTTATCTAAAAAAAATCAGGGTGAAGTTTTGAGTCGAGCCATTCTGGTTGAAAATGACAACGTTTATTGTTTGTTCTATTGTTTGGCATTTGGTTTAATTTGTATAATCTTGTAAAAACAAACTGAACCTAAAGAGAGAGCAAAAATATTGAGTCTCTTGTTTAAATTTTTTTTCAGTATGATATTTAAGTCAAAATTTAAAAGAATACCTTAAGTTATATTATTTGCAGTTTCACGGGCAACTTTTGAAAATTCAATTTCGTTGATTTGTTTATTCTCGTAAAATGTGTGTTCGGCTTTCAAACAGCAAAAATTCGATCTCTGAAAAATTGATCAAGAATTGATAAAAAAGAACAGTTGCAAAAAAAATTACAATATTCTTCGAGATGCTGCAGGATTTTTTTATTCTGATCGTTATTGCTTTTGAAAGCAAAAATAATTATTTAATCTCAAGTTATTGAAAACCAATTGTTGAATAAATGTTGTTCAAATAATATTGAAATTGCTTTATGTAAAAGATTCTGTTGAAAAATGCTTCATGTTAAACAATGATAATCTCTATATAAATAGTATTTAATAATAATTAATAATAATATATATTTGATAATAATATTCGACAAGTTGTATTTGTGATATTATTTTACCAAAGAAACTCTTTTTATTGACGCACAGTTGAGTTGAATTTTCCTCTTCAAACAATAAAAATTTGTTTTTAGATAATTTATTACATTAACCTCAAAATGATGAGGTTAAGTACGGAAATAATTTGCAATACTCTTCGTGTAAACGACAAAAAAGATGCCTGCATTACCTCATTAGACACAATTCATCGTTTTATTTGAGGAAAAGAATTAATTTAAAGGAAAAGAAATCAAAGGATTAATAAACTGACTCACTATTATTGAGAAGTAGAATCAAAAGTTTTCACAAAAAGCTCTTCACATAACACGTCCTAAAAACTATTTGGCAGGATTAGCTCATTAGAAATTTTAATAACGTGCTACATTGCAAAGAAAACTGGAGTATATTTACTTTCAACACAAGCAAACATCGAGCGTCCGTATAAGCAACGAGTTTCGCTTGGCCTCGGCCAGACTCGATGTTCATTTGTGTTGATGCCTCGCGCGGCGGCATGGAAACGGCGTTCCCACCCGCCTTTTGGCAACTTTGAACTGAGTATCATCGCGCGCATATGCTTTGTCTTTGGCGCGTACATCGTCTCATAGACATCTCTATCAATATTATGAACGTCTACCAAAAGAAAGGGTACAAATCGCGATTGAGATTAAGAGAAAAGTATAGATATCTGCATTGAAAATTCCTGTAAAAATATTTTTATACAAACATTAACATTTTCAAGGATAAGTAAGAAAAATTCAGGATATAATGAAAAAAATACACATTATTCCAGGATTTTCAGGACATAAAAAAAAATCGAGGACAATTACAGGATTTTAAGGATTTCCATGACCGCTCGACACCCTGTTCCTTTTTATCTTTTATTATAATTTATATATATTAAATAAATAAATTTTAAATATTTTTAAAAATATATAAGTACATTTAATTTACATACATTTAATTTTTTAATATATTAAAAAATTTTTTAAATATTTTCGATGTAACCGGGTAACGGTGCCTCTTTTCTCTAGTATGAGATACTGCACTGTGGCCGCGTGCTCGCGCATGCGCGTACAGCCGGTCCCTAATCGGAACACTGGAGTGGGGGGCTCCTAGGCACGCTCTCTGCCGAATATTACTACGCGCGATAAGGCGCGGTCCCAAATTCGCGCGCAAAAAACAAATTGAAATAAATGGTTTTTTACGATATACAAGGTTAATCGCACGCACTGTTTTTATGTATATATTTTTTGTCCAGCAATGCTTGTTGTCTTTGCCCGTGTATGTTTGTCCTTTTCCGTTTTTGCGAGGCCGGTAAATAGTGTTATACTATTAAGTTCCTAAAATTATAAATTATTAGATGTAATATATACTGTCAGATTTTTATACTTTTGCATTTATAAAACAAATTCAAGAGAATAGAATGAGAAAATTTTACATAAACGTTTTAGTGAAAAATGAAGTAAAGAATGGAATAAAGGATATAGCTTTATGCCTATAATATTCTTTTAAAAATTTAGGTTTATTCCTAAAATTAAAAAATTATATAAGTTGTATAATTTCATAATTTCCTAGACAATTTTTGCTTTTATGAGAAGTAATTTATAAACAATATTATGACAATAATTGATCTAATAATTATGACGAGACAAAAGAAAAGGAAAGGAGTAGGAGAAGACATATGAAAACATTGAAAAACATTCGTTTAACAAAGGTCTTGCGATACGCATGACTCCCCACAGCGTTTATATATTTTTAAGTTGATCATGTTATAACGTATCTTTATATTATATTTGAGATACACTTGAAAATGACCCAGAACAAGGGTCGAAATGTCGTGTGAAACAAATAAAACTTTTGCCTGTTAGAGGTCAATGCTTAAATTATTTATTTGTTTTAAATATTATTTATTTTATCTTTTATGCCTTTATTTGGTAAGTTGATTTCATATTTTACTTTCTTTTTTCCCAATTACTTTATAACTATATTTAATAATTATCTTATAATAATTTAAGGCAACGGTGCTAAAAATGTCGCAACGCAAACGCAAATATCTGAGCACAAGTCGGAAGAGAAAATTGAAGGAACAAAAAGAAATAGAAATAGCAAAATGTCGAAAACTTTCAAATTTTTTTCATGCATACCTTCGGCTTCTCAGAATAAAGCAGAAAAAGAATGTAAAAATAAAGAAGAAATTAATAAATATGCCGATCAAATTATTCAAAATAAAAGTATGGAAGACGAAATCCATGATATAATTCAAAAGATAGAAAATTTTGATAAATATAAAGATTTAGCATTATGGCCTGATTCAATTAATAAGGAATTCATCAATAACTGTCTTTTAAAAGAAGCATCGTTTTTTCTCAAAATAAAAAGCAAGATAACTTTTGTTTTGATTCAAATAAATTTTATAATGATCAAAATAGAAAATTTAATAATAAGTATTTCGAAAACCGTTTAAGAAATAGACAAAAACTAATTAGATCATGGTTATGTTATTCTAATAGTAAAAGATGCGTTTACTGTTTAGTATGTAAAATATTCTCAGTATCACATACATCTCTTGGAACAACCGGTTTTTTTGATTGGACTAATCTAATCCGAACTCTAGACAATCATGAAGAATCGATAGATCATAAAAATATAATGCTAATATGGTTAACACAAAAGGAAAATAAAACTATTATCGATAAACAATTTGAAAAACAGATTAGAAATAAAACTGAATATTATTACAATGTCCTAATGCGTGTTGTTGCTATAATTAAATTTCTAAGTGAAAGAAAAATGCCACTAAGAGGCCACAATGAAAAGTGGGGATCTCCACACAATGGTAATTTTATAGGACTCGTAGAATTAATTGCAGAATTTGATCTTTTTTTACGAGAGCACATCGTAAAATGTTCAATCTCAGCAAAGTAAAATTTTAAGTTATCTGTCAAAAACTTATGAAGAAATAATTGAAATAATGAGAAAACGAGTTCTAAGAGAGATTGTTAATAATATTAATGAAGAAGACACTAAATATTATTCAGTCATTACTGATTCGACACCAGATTTCGCACATACAAACCAACTTGCAATAATTGTAAAATACTGTACAAAAGGGAAAATTTATTAAAGATTTTTATCGTTTTTACCTATTCATAGTCATACGGGTTTGTCTTTATTTAATACTTTAAAAAGTTTTTTAGAAAAAATTGGACTTCCTATTGTCGTGGCCAGTCCTATGATAATGCTGCAAATATGAGCGGAAAATATAATGGACTGCAAACACGTTTAAAAAAGATAAATAAATTTGCTGATTATGTACGCTGTGCAGCACATTCTTTAAATTTAGTTGGGGTAGAGGCAATAAATATTGTATCTTGTATGAGAAATTATTTTAGTATTGTTCAGCAATTATATGTATTTTTTTCGGCATCTACGCATAGATGGAACATGTTAAACAATGCAAATTTACTTTTTACCATAAAAAATCTTAGTCACACAAGATGGTCTAGTCATTATAAAGCTATACATGCTTTAAAAATTAGTTACGATACTATTTTAGATATCTTAAAAAGTATTTTTAATAATAATTTAGAAGAAGTTAGATGTAAAATAGAAACCAGAAATTTATATAACAAACTCTTGAGATCAGAAATCTATATTAACATCTATGTTATCTATGTTAATATCTGCTATATTAACTGTATTTTGGGAAGAGATTCTTGAAAGATTTAATAAAATTAGCAAACATTACAAACTACTGGTTTAGACTTATGTAAAGGTTATGCTTTAATTTCATCTCTTGAATTATTCATAAATACCATTAGATAGAATTGTGATGAAAAATTAATTGAGTATGAACTAAAAGCAAGAGGAATGAGTTCCAAGATTGAACAAAATTATAGCGACATAAATTAAAGAATTAAAACAAAAAAATACGCAAATGGTGAGAAAGGTAAAGATACACTTAGAGAAAGAAATGAATTTCGTATTCAGGGAGTAAATATATTGTTAGATTCATTAATTTTAGAACTAAATAAAAGAGAAGAGGTATATGAAAAATTTGGAAAAAGATTAAAATTTTTAATGGATATAGAAAACAAAACTGTTTCAAATATTGATGATGAAAGTATTAATTTCATTATAGAACATTCCTTATATGTTCTCATCCAGTAAACTTCGTCTGTTCTTTAAAAAGGTAACATTTCGACTCAAACAACAAATTGACGAGAAACGAAATCTTAAAAGAAATGAATATATACAATAAGACAAAATATAGTGGTAAAGATTTAATCGATCAACTCTGGCAAAAAAGAAATTTTATTAAATTTTACAACGTTTCGGCCGTAGGTTTCGACCCTTATCAAGTGCTGTAACATAACATTAACAATTATGGGTAAAGAAAAATTATAAAATATATAGAAACCATAATTGTTAATGTTATGTTACAGCACTTGATAAAGGCCGAAACTCACGGCCAAAACGTTGTAAAATTTAATAAAATTTTTTTTTGCCAGAGTTGGTCGATTAAATCTTTACCATTTTTTAATTATCGTCTGGTGATCTTGCAGTTTTATATCGTTACAAAATATAGTATTTACTTTTGCTTTCTTTCGCAGATTAATATCGAAAAACAGAAATGAGTAGAATTATGGAAAGGAGAAATAAAATTAAAGCACATCTCAAATTATGTCATAAACTTGAATTAGTTAAAAAAAAAAACATTTTACAATAACTCAAATATATAACTTTTCGCTAAACGTGGCAATTTATCAGTAAAAATTTTACGCAGGAAAATTAATATTATAAAACTAAAAACAAATGACGAAAATACACGTCAATAATGTAGGAGAGAATGGGAGAATGACGGTCGTCAGGCAATGCCGGTCACCCGTTTACATAAATATACAACAGTTATATCAAACTTTTTTGTCTATCCGTTTACATACATGATTATTGAGTAATTTATTATGCCGTGCCTATTAAACCAACATAAATTAATAAAAATCTAGTGATTCTTATTTTACGCCCTTTTTCTTATAAGAATCGATGTACTTTTAATAAGGGTTTTGCAAAATTTTTAGTAGTTAAAATTACATTTAACTGTTTTTTATGATTTTTTTGGTTCTTTAGCTTTCATTTCGCCCATATTAAAACGATGACATAGTATAAATATATTATTATTTAATATAACAAATACACTCGGTTTTTGGGGTAACGGTAGTCGCTTGTACGGGGAAATTGCAGTCGAACGTAACCTGTTAACCATCGGGCACATGCCTGCAAACGTCGAGTGACAGCGTGAACATCACGGTATGTATATACCTATATTTATACCACAAATTTGATGGAATTTATCCAAACTCAGTGAGAAATGAATAATATACATGATTTACATAGAAAATATGTTCAATTTGATGGACATTTCAGTCTTGAAATAACGCTGGAATTTTAGGTTAAAATTTCAATTTTTCTGTTAAT